AGTTCCTGGGCACAGTAAACTACTGCAGAATGTTTATGGGGCCGAGATACGCGGATCTCGCCCGGCCCCTCATTGAACTTACACGCAGGAACGCACCCTTTGTCTGGACGGAAGCGCACAGTAAAGCAGTCCGACAACTCAAACAACGCCTTTCCGAATTTACGATATTGCAAACTCCGAATCTTACTAAACCTTTTACCCTTTACACGGATGCGTCTGGCTATGCAATAGGAGCTGTACTAGAGCAAGACAACAAACCAGTCGGTTTCCTTAGCCAAGTAATGACCCCAACCCAGCAAAAGTATTCAATCTACGATCAAGAATTGTTGGCTCTCATATCGGCGTTAGACAAATGGAGACACTTATTGCGCAGTGCGAAAGTTACGGTGTACACGGACCACCAGGCCCTCACCTTCCTCCAACGCTTGAGCTCACAGAAGCCCTTGCGGGGCCGAACTGCACGTTGGCTAGATTTCCTTGCGGAATTCTCAGATCTCACTATCACCTACCTTCAGGGAGCGAAAAATAAGGTGGCAGACGCGCTGTCTCGGCACCCTCGGCACGGTAGTGGGGAACCTAACAGAGTACAAAATCTACTAGCTTCAATGGTTCAACGCCAAGGGACCCCAGCAGCGCAGCCTCATTACTCGACTCGGCTTGTCACGGGGTCGGTGCCTCATCCGGACTTTCGCGCGATGATAGGGCGGCGTCTGCCCACGAGGCAACAACGGAAAAGTGGATCGGAGTCACAACAGGCAGCGGGATCGGCCGGCACGAACGAATCGCATCAGCCAACGATATCGGCTGGTGCAAAGGAGTCGCACCTGGGAGCGGGATCGGTTGATGCGAATGAGTCGCAGCAGGCAACGGGCTCGGGTGGTGCGAACGCCGAACGGTCGAAACACGATATTCCTACCTCGGATCGCTCAATAACGGACATTTCAACCACATCGATCGCCTCCAGCGACGAACAGCATCATTCGCTCACGACTGCACAGATTATGGCCGAAGCTCCTACGACTCCTGAGCATCTATCCCCCCAGCGTTG